TTATTATTATTATTATTATTATTATTATTATTATTATTATTATTATTATTCTTTATACTTATGTACGAGTGCCAGTGGAAGAAAAATATTCGTATTGAATGTCAAAACACTCGTCGAGTAGTTGGATGATGCGACTTTAATCAAAACAAAATGCGTTTAGCTTAGCAGTAAGCATTTGCTGACGTCGCTGCCCCTTAGTTTTTTTAAATATATTTTAAAGGCCAAGTACCATCTATATTAGAACGTCGTTGAGCACGCACTGCTCTCATTGCTCGCGCCGTTGTCGTCTATGTAAGGAAAACAAACATACATACATATATATATATATATATATATATTTACCATATATATGCATTTATGTGTTGTATTAATAATTATTTTGTTCTTTTGGACGGGACTCAAGTGACAGGCTTTTTAGTACGATCAAAGGCTGTTAAAAATTTTATGATGATATTCTTTTCTTCGGAGTCCTCACACTACCACATTAATGTCGTCTTTGCGTCGTCTTGTTATAGTATACCTACTCTCACAGCTTCATAAATTATGGAACTCGTTTAATGATAACGCTAAAATAAAACGTACGTATATGGAAATTATGTACACGTAGATAATAATAATGGTGATGCTCAATCGCATTGGATATTGTGTTCTAATTGATATTGGTTAATTTTTTTTTTTTTTTTATTTTTTTTTTTTTAGAGGTTGACAGAATTTTATATCATAGCGGTATTATTTATAAATAATAAATAAATAGTAAATCTGTAAAGATATCTTAAAATTTCAAAAAATATGCTTTAAAAGGTCAACATTTAAGTATTAAAAAATTCTAGTAAGCTTTTGAATATAATCAGTTAAAATAAATTATTAACTATGTATCATAATTTAATTTAAAGAATAGTACTTTTTTTTATGTAAGTACATGATTTGCGTGAAAAATTGAAATACAACCCATAAAAATTAATATAATTAAAATTAATTTTCAGATATCAATAAAGAAAAACCGATTGCCTCTCTTATAAAATGTAAGTATAAATTGGATAGTAAAAAATATTATATTATAAGCAAAAATAAAATACTACTTTTATAATGTATGGAACAAATTAACGTTATATTGCACAATATCAATTATTTGTTGTTTATTTATAAATTAATTTACGATTATTAACCATTTACTAATTCTTAATTTTAATTAAATTTTTTATTATTTTATTATATGCTTATCATCCTTAAAAACTTGCAGCTAAATCATAATAATTACAGAAATTTACTTTGATTTTAATCACACCTACATCGTATGGTGTACAGTAGAGAGTGTATAAATATTAAAATAAATGAATACAATTTTAATGAAATGATATTTTTAAAGACATTATAAAATACAATTTTAAAGTTTTACAAGTCACTGGAAAGTTGATGATGATAATAGATATGACTCTACTTCATATTTCACAGTGGCCAAGAGATCACTGTTCATTTTGAGTGTTGTACACTCTCGTCATTCTAAAAAACTGGGTAAATGTTCTCAAGTGCGACGTTTTATCGCGAGGTACTAACATAGGACTCGTTAAATTGCACAGGTGTCTGGCGAAGAGGGCAAGGAAAAGAAAAATAATAATAATAACAAGTAATTAAAACCCGTCGTTTAATCCTCCGCGCGGAACAGCAGTTTTTAACTTTTTCATGGTATTACGACGACGAGGCGTTTAACAGCCCTCTCATAACCGCACTGCCGCGGGCTAGAAAAAAAAAAGCTTAAAAAGATCGGAATTAAAAAGTGAACATCGGAATGGTTTTTTGCACCCCCCCCCCCCCCCCCCACCCTCCACGGTTGGCGGTACAACGTATTGTTACGAAATATTGCGTGCGGAAGTCGGGTGGCGGGCTAGTCACAACGCTATTACATAAAATACTACACAGGTACACGGGGGCCGGAAACGCGAACTACAAACGATAATGACCGCTGTCCAGAGATCGTTATCCGAAACGGAAAACGCGTATAAATTTCGGTTGTCCGCCGTCCGAGGGTACAATGTGCCCGCGGCTCGCTGTTAATTCATATGGATGTGTGCAACCGAAAACGTTATCTTCCGATCGTAATCCGTCTCGTTTCCAATGGGCACAATACATACCATAGCCGCAACAACGGCATTAAAACAATAGTGATAATATGTGTTAAACAGAGGGGCGTCGAAAAACAAAAAACACCAGGGAGGGACCAAACAAATAAAAAGTAAACACATTACACCCTAACGGTGACGGTTACGGGACTAATTGTGTGGTAAGTAGGGAGCTCGTGTGTTGAACAGAGTTGGGCATTAGTCGAATAAAAAATATTATTCGATTGATTATTTGAATAAAAAATTATTCTTCATTGATTTATTCTTAATTTTATTATTTATTTTTATTTTTATTCATTATTTTAATTTGTATTATTATTCGTTATTCCCTATAATCATATAAATAATAAATTTAAATCCTAAATAACGATGTATAATAATAATAGACATATTATTTAGATTTAAATAATATATATATAAATATTATTATTCTTGATAAACATACATTATTATAGTTACTCTAACGATAATTGTTATAATTATTACTACAAATTGTTATTATTGTTGTGTTGTTATTACTTGAATTATTATTTAATCATAAATTATTATTAAAGTATTAAATTATGCGAAATTAAAGTAAAATATTTTTGGGAATTTACCGATATATCTACAAAGATGTGAAAACGCCAAATGTGATAATATTTCTATAATAGTTTTCTGCAAGTAACCTGGTTAGTTGCCAAAATTTAGGTCTTGATAGAGCACAATTCACGCATATATAATTGCGATTAGTATAATACATAAGTTAAAAAAAAATTAATATCATTCATGATTTTAACGAATAAATTTATTCTTTATTCATAAATAAATTAGTTATTCATGCTTTTATTTTTTATTCTTTATTTTCATTTATTTTTGCCCAACTCTGGTATTGAATAGGTTTTATATTCATACATTGCGAATGTGTGTTGTACTCTATACCATGTATGTGTATATTATACATACACTATGGCGGATTAAAATGTTCGAATTAACCCAAGCGTCTCAAGAGAATCGGTCATTAAATCGAAGAAAATACAATAATGTCTCTTTTATTTCAAAAACAAAATCAATCTACCAGAACAAATTTCCATGTCTTTCATTTAAATTTCAATTTATGTTTATGTCTATAGACATTCTACTATTTAAAATCCTATACCAGCAGTTCATAACCTGTGGTCCGCGGCAGATCTAACACATAAAATACATCAATACATGACATGAGTGCATTATTATAATATTGTTGGATTAATATTATTATTATTTTTTCATATATTTTTTATTATATACCCAACAGATAGATTTTATCATTATACGATGTTGTAAAACTTTTGTCTCAACCATCGTATTAAACTAATAAAAATTAAATTTTAAGAATATTAAAAAAAATTAAAACTAAAATAATTAAATTTAAGTTAACTGAAAAAATTAAGTCAAATAAAAATAATTATAAATATGTATGTTTTGTTATGTCTATTAATACAATTTATTATATAAAATAATTATTATAATTTTGGTATTAATAACATGAGATATTTTGTAAAAAAAAAATATGTATTAAAAAAAAAAAATTAGTACGGGGGTCCGCAATTTCTAAAAATCATTTATCAGGGGTCCGTGATCTACAAAAGTTTAAGAACCGCTGTCCTATACCACTCGATAAATTCACAAAATGAGTTTAAAATAATGTATTAATCGTTATAAAATATCCACAGCTTTATATTACTAAAATAGGTAATCGTGACCATTATGTAATTTCAATGAGGATTCTCAATATTAATGATCTGACAGTATCAATTCCATACCATAAAAGTAGATAGGTACTACATCTTACTTGCATCATACGTACATTATGCATGTATTATTGAAAACGATGTTTAAAAGTGAAAATGTTTGTTTTTGTTTAGACTCATAATAAAAACAAATAATAACATCAAAAAAATGGTCATAGTACCTATACGTTATAAGTTATAATAATATAATTCACCGTAACAATAAACTGATTCCAACCATAGTGCACTAAGACTTGCACCACCATAAATCATAAGATCTTATACTACGATTTGTGATTTCGTTTCCAAATTATAATATTCGACGAAACAAATGATGATATTCTAAACAATGTTGAGCTTTTGAAAAACGATTCTGAACAATGGCCACAGATGAATTATATCAGATATCGATTATTCATTAAATATACTGTGAATTAAGTGCATTACGTTAGCGCACTTACGGTTGATAAGTTATTAAAAATAAATTCCTGTCGAAAGTTTTAAGCCACTTGACGTATAAATGTTTCTGCCATACGAATGCAAATAGAAAACAACACGTTCAGAGATGGAACTAGGAATTTTTACGCCCGGGTAAAATGTTAAAATGACGCCATATCCATAGACTAATAAACAAATACTCAAATAAATTGTGTTCTTATAATCAATATACAATCGTACTTATTGAGTTTTAACCTAATATCAGTATTTAACGAAGTTAAAAATATCAAATTAGTTGTTAATAATTACGAAAATTACACCCTCTAAAATGTTACGCCCGGGGATAAACCCCCAGATCCGGCCCTGAACACGTTAATAGTTCTTCTAAATGCTGTAATAAAAAAAAATAATAATAATAATAAAATAGGAAAAAACACGCTCCGACCACTGCTCGGAACCATAATCGTCGACCGTGTTTCACCGGAGCGTTTTACGTGTTCGCAGATGATTTTCTCGCCGTCGTCCGCGTCGACGAACGCCGTCATGGAGTCGCCGGTGACCGCGATCGGCAACAGCCGGGACGCCGACGGTTTCCGCAAGAAGTACGGGCCCAAGTCGACGGACTCGCTGACGTTCTCGATCGCCCGCATAATGGAACCGGACGTCCGGAAACAGCAGCACCACCAGCACCAGCAGCAGCACCAGCAGCACAGGCCGTACGCGCCGACCGCCGACTACTTCCACGCGCTCGAGTCCGCGTTCAAGAAATACGTGCCGGCGTTCCGGTCGAACCACGGTCAGCCGTGCGGCGCGACGCGCGCCGACGGTCGCGTCGCTCCGGGGCCCGCGGCCGACGGTCACCTGCTACCGTATCCGGCCACGGCGGCCGCGGCGG